TCTCTCTGCCCAACAGACACTGGCTGTCCTCTGCCTACACGCAGTTTGCTGTGCCCTACTTCATCTACGACATCTACGCCATGTTTCTCTGTCACTGGCACAAGCACCAGGTCAAAGGGCATGGAGGGGATGACGGAGTGGCCAGAGCCCCGGGCAGCACGTGGGCCATAGCACGTGGCTACCTGCACAAGGAGTTCCTCATGGTGCTCCACCATGCCGCCATGGTGCTGGTGTGCTTCCCGCTGTCGGTGGTGAGTCCCGGGGAGCTGGGCGGTTGGGGTGTGGGTGGCCTGCTCCTTGGTCCCACTGGTGCTGGCAGGAACCCGGGAAGCCCTGGGTCTGGGTACTGGCAGCCAAGCAGACCCAGCACGTTTCCAGGGAAAGCTGTGGACAGGCAGGGTTCACTGAGCACCAGCCCAGGGGCACCAGGGTGTGGGGGCAGCCTGGCCCCGGGCTGGACAATGCCCGGCTGCAGCACTTTGGATCTGTGGTTGCACATCTCTGAGCCTCAGTTTCCTCACCTGTTACATAAGGAACACAGTCTTTCTGCAGGACTGTGAGAGGGATGCAGCCAAGTCATGCACCTGCTTCCGCACCCAGGTGTTCTTTCTCTTTCTTCTCTTTCCAAGACGGAGTCTCTCTGTGTCACTCAGGCTGGAGTGCAGTGGTGTGATCTCGGCTCACTGCAACCTCCGCCTCCTGAGTTCAAGTGATTCTCCCACCTCAGCCTCCCCAGTAGCGGGGATTACAGGTGCCCGCCAACACGCCTGGCTAATTTTTTTGGTATTTTTAGTAGAGACGGGGTTTCACCATGTTGGTCAGGCTGGTCTCAAACTCCTCACCTCGTGATCCACCTACCTCGGCCTCCCGAAGTGCTGGGATTACAGGCGTGAACCACCGCGCCCAGCCCTGCACCCAGGTGTTTTGACATTCAGAGCATCTCCAAAAGTGACAGAGGGGAAAGAGGAAGGGTGGGGGCTGCCTAAGAACCCAGGGGGAGCACCCAGCTCCTCACCTTCCTGCCTGTGTGCTCAGGTGTGGCGACAGGGGAAGGGAGACTTCTTTCTGGGTTGCATGTTGATGGCAGAGGTCAGCACACCCTTCGTCTGCCTTGGCAAGATCCTCATCCAGGTGAGTGAGCACGGGAGGGTGCGGGAGCCCGATGGGAGGGGGGGCACGGGTAAGGGAGGGACCTTCAGGGTTGCTGCCAAGGGCTCTGGCCCCTTCGTCATTCCCCCCCTCACCCCTTGCCTTTTGAGCTCGTGCTTGTGTCCCGGCAAAGTGTCCGGTCTGGGAGGAGCTGCCTGCTAGGGTTGCAGGGAGGCAGGGAGAGGGCCAAGGGGGGCCGAGCCCTTCTGCCGCGGCGGCCACGGTGTCCGTGTTCCCTCAGTACAAGCAGCAGCACACGCTGCTGCACAAGGTGAACGGGGCCCTGATGCTGCTCAGCTTCCTGTGCTGCCGGGTGCTGCTCTTCCCCTACCTGTACTGGGCCTACGGGCGCCATGCGGGCCTGCCTCTGCTGGCCGTGCCCCTGGCCATCCCCGCCCATGTCAACCTGGGCGCTGCGCTGCTTCTGGCCCCTCAGCTCTACTGGTTCTTCCTCATCTGCCGCGGGGCCTGCCGCCTCTTCTGGCCCCGCTCCCGGCCACCCCCGGCCTGCCAGGCCCAGGACTGAGGCCGGGGGCCAGGACCCTCCCCCTCCCCACCCCCACCCCCGTGGAGACAGGGCTCTGGGGCTGATGGCTGGGGGTGGGAGCCAGGGTCCTCTTGCCCGGACAACCCCAGGACTGACAATGACCCTGAAAGGGAAGAGGCCCCACACCTCGGGGACTGAGTGAGGGGAGAGAGGGAACCTCTTCTCCTTACTGTGCCCCCTTCCTGCACACCCCTGCGCGGGAGGAGGGGAGGGGGCACCACCTCCCACCCACTGAGGGCAGGAGGGCTTGTGGGGAGGGAGACCGACAGGGTTTCAAGGGGACCAGGAGTCAGAATGTGGGGAGGCGCCTCTGCCAAGGCCATCCCAGCCCCTCTGCTGCCACCCCCCAGGGCTCCCCATCACCCGAGAGGAGAGGACGCCCCAACTAACCCGGCTGGCCCTCGGGCCTCCCGAGCGGCCGGCTGCAACCACGGCTCCTCTCCAGGGTAGGCCAGCTTGGGGAATCTTATTTATTTTATTTATTTACCCAAATTTGAACTAGTCTGTTGGGTTGAGGGGTTGAGGGAGAGAGGTGACTGCTACCCCCAAGCCTTCCCAGTGCTGACAACCCCGGGGGCAGGCGAGGGCGCCCAGTCCCTCACCATCGGCTGCACATCGCGCCCTCGGGCCCTGCCATGTCCCTGGTGCTACTGACCTCTCAAGGCTTCCTCCAATCTGGGGTCGGGGGACCCTGGGAGGTGCTTTACAGACCGCTAATAAAAGACGATCTGCGTGAACGCCACCGAGGCCCTCACCATCAAGTTCTTTGGGGCTGGGAAGGGAGGAGGTGGGGGGCTTGGGCTGTGGGAAACGCACAGGGAGCGGGATCCCCAGCTCCTCGCTGGGCAGTCAGGGAGGGAAAGGTGGGGAACTTTTGCTCATCAACAGGAGAGGAGGTGGGTGTGGGTGCTCAGGTTGAGTCCGGGGCCCCTGTCCGGCTCTTTAGGCCCCTTTCTGGAAGTTTCTGTGGGGCATGGAGATCAGAGGGGAGAGGTCACACCCTGCCCCACTAGAACTGGGCTCTTCAGCTGCTCCCAAGGAAGGTGGTGGTGGGTGGGGTTGGAGGAAGGGGGCAGGCCTTACATGTGGGTGCAGAACTGGAAAAGGAGAAAGAAGACGACCACCACCAGGAAGCCTACCAGGATGTGATGGAAGAGCCCGGGGCTGGAACCTGCTAAACAAGCAGGACCCTTAATTCCCCTCTGATGGCCCAATGGAAGGGTCGGGGGCTGCTCTCCTCCAGGCCCTGGCGGGGAGGGAGGTCCCTTCTCTAGCTGGTTCATACCTGAGTTAACAAACATGATGGGTTTCTCTCCAATAAACTGGGCCACAGCCAGGAGCCTGGCTTGGTCTGAGTCTGGATAATCGAAGAAGTCAGGCCTGTCTAAGAAGCGTCGAGACTCTGTCCCCAGGGCTGACGCCGTGGCACGCTTGGGTCTGGGTGCTAGGATCCAAGCAAAGTCTGTGACAACAGCCAAGCTGACCCCTGCCTTTATCTCTGAAGGCTGAAGCTGGCTTGGGACCCTATGAGACCACCCAGCCTTATTGTGGAGGCTGTGGAGGGTCTTGATTTCCCTCAGGGTCAGCTGGGTGCACCACGACAAGGCCCATGGTTGTCAGGGGGTGGGTGGGACCAGCAGGATGGGAGAGAAGAGTGGAGAGAAAAGGAGAAGGTGCAGGGTTGGCTTCCCAATCCCTAAGTGGGCATCACCCTTTATGCCCCCAGAGCTGCCTGCCTTCCCACTGCTCCCAAGACAGCTTCTCACCAGTGTCTATGGCCCCTATTGCAGCCAGCCACACCCACATCAGCACCCATGGCCACAACCTCATGACTGCTATCATGAGGTGGGGGCTCTGTGATGTCACAGCCCAGAACTGTTCTGATGGCACTCTGGGGTGAGGGGCGGAAGTGCTAGGAGCTGGGACCCCTTCCCCATCCCTCACCCTCATCGGAAGAGGAGAGGAGAGGAGAGATTGAGACCAGGGGAGTCTTCATCCTCTGGAATGTTGCTGATGATAAAGCCATAATGGTGGCAGCCCCAGCGTTTACAAAGAGGAGGGCTGCGGCAGGGCCATCTTGCTGAAAGCCAGAACTAAAGGAAGCTGCGTTTAGACAACAGGCACAATTTGGGGTGGTGGCACCGGGCCACACACCTCCAGTTACCCCTTGGATCAACCACAGGTAGCATTTGTTTTATTTATTTTCATTTTTTTGGAGACAGGGTCCCTGTCTGTCACCCAGGCAGGAGTGCAGAGGCACAATCTTGGCTCACTACAGCCTCCGCCTCCCGGGTTCAAGTGATTCCCCTGCCTCAGCCTCCTGAGTAGCTAGGATTACAGCTGCCTGCCACCACACCCGGCTAATTTTTGTATTTTTAGTAGAGACAGGGTTTCACTGTGTTGGTCAGGCTGGTCTCGAACTACTCACCTCAGGTGATCTGCTTGCCTCGGCCTCCCAGAGTGCCCAGACTATTTTATGTCTTTTCAGAGACAGGGTCTCACTCTGTCACCCAGGCTGGAGTACAGTGGTATGATCACTGCAGCCTGGAACTCTTGGCCTCAAGTGATCCTCCCAAGTCAGCCTCCTGAGTAGCTGGGACCACAGCATGTGCCACCATGTCTGGCTAATCTTTGCATTTTTTGTAGAGATGAAGTCTTGTTATGTTTTTTTGTTTTTTGTTTTTTGTTTTTTTTGAGACGGAGTCTC